CTTTTTCCAACTTTTCAGACCTCTTTTTGGCATTTTCAACCAGCCAACCACTTGCCCCCAAGCGTCCAAATCTTCAGCGTCCCATTTTTCAACGAGCACACCAACAGCCCTCGCGCCCAAACATCGCACCATTTTCCCCTCAAAAACTCAACAGATTTTGCCACCTTCTTCACCAGCCCTTCAAGAACTGCGCCCCAAAAGCATTGTTCCACGACATTTTCCACCAAAACCAGCCCACTTGCCCCCCAGCAACAAGCATTGATCCACAGACTGATCTCACCACCCAAAAATAGGCAAAGTCCACCTCATAGAAAATGCTACCCCCGCACCCACAACCCAAGATACAATGTATGAAAAAATCCTATTCACACTCTAGAACCCAATACCCGTATCTATCCAGGTGCCATACGCCTAACTAGGCAAGGGGCTTCCTTGTAGAATTTGGGTTCAGGTTTGGCGGCCATCCGTTGGGAAGCTTCGGAACCATCGCACACCGGACTGGCCAAGCAACATTATGCGAGTGTGTGCATAGCCACAACTCACCACAAGCGAGCCCCGCCGGCAAGGCTGCTCAAAATAAGCAGGAAATCTTGGGGCTCCGAGATTCTTCCATCTTTCTTCCATCTTCGCGGACCGCTGCTGCGATTTCACGGAGGAGCCGGCTTTGTAGCAAGATTGCTTCAACCTCTGTTAAGATTGCCTTCTCTGCTATTTTGCTTTAGACACATATTTAGAGCATTATAAGCACTGGTTTGTGTGTCGGTCAAATCGATCTTGTGGTACGTGGATCGTTCTGCATGGACAACACGATTGCAGTCAAGTAGATTAGACACCTACTGGCATGTGCTTGTATTGAATTGTTGGGTAGCTTGCGGCTAGAAGGCGTTCCTTTGCAGCCTCAATGGCCCTCCGAGTTCGGCAGATTCTGCAACGTTGCAGGCTTGACTGCAAGCGAGACATAAACCCTCCGATCCGGAGACTTTTCATCGATGCCCAAGGTTTGCCAATAAACTTAGCCGGCAAGGTGGCCATCCTCGTACTTGACAGCCTGCGTCTGTCAGAAGAATATAAATTTGCGGTCATGAAGAGTCCGGTGTGAAGGGGCACGCCACAGGGGAAGACGCCCCGATGAAAGTAGCCCTGCAATTCGTGAAAGCGATGGAAGCAAACGGCATCGAGGTCACCATAGCTGGGTCGTTGGCACGTAACGTCGCGACTGCTTGGCACTATTTCCGAGCCTTACTTTTTGATTCACTGGGGTCCTTCGTTCTTGTTATGTAGCAAGATCTAACTACTTCCGTTCTTGTTATGTAGCAAGATCTAACTACTTCCGTGTAAGTAGGGTGCTGTTGTCGGTCGCTGAGGTGACAGAACCACGATTCACAAAGGATATCGATGTGAACTTGCGTCTCGAACCTGGCAGTGTCGACAAGTTTGTGGCAGCAGCGACAGCCGTCGGTGCTGAAGTACGAGATTGGTTGGAAGAACTTTTGAATTTCACGCAGCCGTAGGCATTGATCGAAACCTTTTGAACCGGTCAATTCAATAGCAGGGTCTGGGCAGCTCAGGAGATCGGGAGGCCAAGACGTGGACGGGGCATCCTTACGGATGACGAAGTCTTCCTCGTTGGAATCAGCTACAGCGGCATTCCGACCGACGTTTTTTTCAACACTTGGTGGGGCAGTCGCTCGGTTGCTGTCATGTTGTGTTATGCCGGGTCCTTGCTGAGTTCCACAAAGAGAATTGAGCAACCCAGGTCAAGATGCCGTTGATGATGCGTTTCTCGTAGAGGTTGATGGACAGGGTTGGCGCTTCATTTCCCCCACCAGTCTTTGTCTTTTCAAGATTTTGTTTCTGTCAGAGTCCTCTCCTGAGCGTGTTTTGCTAAAACACATCGAGGACATTTATGCCTTGCTCGAAGTGTCAAAGATTCCGGTTGACCGCAGATATGTTTCTGCGTCTGTGTCCAAACTACTACCCAGCACAGACTTTCGCTTTAAGCTTTGGCACGGCATCGCCAGTGGCGAGAAGTTGTCCAGCATACTCGCAGGGGCTTTGAACCTGTAGCCATCCAAAACGGAATGGCCTGCTGAGACCGAAACAGTCGCAGCTGAAAAACTAACGGCATGTAGGAGTTACAAATTGTGGCTGTCTTGTTGCGAGGTGTCTGTGCCTGTGTTTCGTTGAAGGCCGGCCTTAGCAACGTTGTCGGCTTCCCAAGCTCTTTTCCACCCACACAGGAAGCCGCTAGAACGGAAACACTGCACGCAGCGCGAAAGTGGGCCGGATGGTGGTTTGGGGTTTAGGGTTTCTGGTTGAGGGTTAAGGGCTTGAATTACTTTTCAATTACTTGTCCATCCTTTCCTCCCGTTGGAGGGGTAAGATGAAGCGGCTATTTGATGGTTGATCCAAATTTCAGTTTCCCGACCCGAAATATAGCGAACATATCATACCCGAAACTCAATCAAAAAAGGGCCCTGTCTTTAACCCACTTAGGGCCAGGGTCTAGGGTTTAGTTACTTGATTACTTGAGCTTCCTAACGCAACCCGAAGCTCGGATCCTTAAAGCCCCTAAGGTACCAAACGCTTAAATTCGGGTTGTTCTAAAGGCCCTTGTAAAGAAAGGACCATTGGGAATTCCTTGAAAGGGCACCCTAATCAAACAGGGAACCTACATTCTATGGCCACTTCGGGGACAGGTATGTTGAACAACTACCAAGTAAGCTTGCTTTCCTAAACCCTAAACAATAACCCCCAGACGCGAAGGAGTTTTCATCGCTTGCCATGCCGAGCTCTACTCTTGAGTGGTGGCTTGGGGCTTGGGTGGCTCGTGGCTTCTCTAGGGTTCAAAGTTTTGTTTACATAGTGCATACCAATAAGCCCATCGCAACACATAGTGAGGGACCCACGCAGAAAAAGAGAAGCCAAAAGCATGCAAAATCATGCTCCAGCATCAAGGGTAGGGCCGGGTGGAATAACGTCAAGCTTTTAACAACTCAAAGCGTAAATACGCTCTATTGTTACCTTCAACATAATAATATTTTTGACCAAGCTTTTCATCAATTGTTTCTATTGTGTAAATGTTTTGCGACCAATTTGAAGCACGTTCCTTTTCATTGGGTTTCCTCTTCCTAAATATCTTAACTTCATCACCAACACTTAATTCAGAATATACCCGATTTCGTTTAGCATTCATATATAAATGCAGTTTAACTTTTAATTCGTT